TTGTTTCATTTTTGAATTTCTTTCTCTTAGAATTGTAGTCTTTTCCAAACGTGAAAGCATCTTGGTGTTGGAGGACTCACAGGAGATGGGATTCACTCCTGTTCTCTGAATGGTGCAAAACCAATCCACTCTGGTCTTTAGAGTGTTTCTTGAAAAATGAAAAAGTGATAAACATGGGACAAAAATTATAAATATCAATCTTTTTGTATTATCAAACTGATGAGGAAACAGAGCTAGTCTCCCATATCCATCAGTTAAATTGTTCTTTTCTTCTTCTTTTTTTTTTTTTTTATGAGCATTAGTAGCCATTTATGATGATAATTGCCATTTTATTTTTCAAAAAAATATGTTTAAAGTTTTGTGTTTCAGGAAGCTGTAAGCATCAGCAGTATGCGAGAGACTGTAGGGAAAGAACTCTCCATCATCTCTTGAAGTTGTGTCAGACCTTAACGAGGAGCTGTGCAGCACAGCAGCCCGGGGTGAAGATGTCCCCTTGATTCAGAGGGATTAGGTGTACAGCCTCAACATGAGCCAACTTGATGCTATCAGCCGCAGTAGGTTTTTGAAGCAAATTGCTTCAAACTGAAGCAAAACTGGAAACTGAAGCTGATTTTTTTTTGTTATAACTTGTGATTATCTTCTGATGTCTTATTCTAGGGTGAATATCTCCTGTAAAAGATATGATTTTACAGAGTTCCAAGCTGATGCTCTGTCAGAAATGTAGTGAAATTAAGCAGTAAATGATTTTGAAAGTCAACACAGTTTCATAGCAATGTCTAATTAAAGTTGTGTAGGATCTGGGGCATCTTAGCCATCTAGTGCCACTGTTCTTTTTGTATTGAATGATTTCTGCACTTTCAGATTTTCAGTATTATGATACCCTCAATCCTATGTATTTGTACATTTTGATGGACATATGCAAAAAGAGTCAAGCACACCCCTTCTGTGCTCTGTGAGTAGAAAGGTAAGCTGTTTGTGAATATAAGCAAGAAAAACATTGCTTCTAAGTTGTAGCTTTCTGAGGAGGTTGCTGTGGTTCTTCTTTATCTGTAGTATGGCAGTAATATCCTCTCTACATCTGCATATTGAAGGTGAGCAAGGAGAGTGATTCGCACTGCTTTAGCTTGTTCAGTAGGCCTGTTTTTTAAGGAGCTGAGGATTATGCAGTCTTTGAAACTACCTTGTTAAGCATACACCTTCTGGGTATCTGATTCCTCAAACCTTAGAGAAATGTGTAACATTCATGCTGTCAGGTGTTTATCTAAGATGTCTTTTTTGGAACAGATTTGAAAAGTTTAGCCTCAGTAGTCAAAAGTATTGGTTTTATCCTGTTGGGAGAATGTGCTCTCATTCTTTGTAAGGACTTGTACTTTCTTTGTTCATTTCCTGTGATTCAAATAACCTCAGGTGGTTTGCAGCTAATGTGAGTAACAGTTACCAAGGCCAGCTCACTCACTCCGTGGCTCTTTTTATTGGCTCCCTCCCTCCATCACATCAGATCCATGATCTGTCCCCTCACCTGCAAGACCCAGCAGATGCTTTCAGACCACTTGCCCTGCTTATTCACGTACCCGGCAGCCTTCAAACACATGAAGTTCTCCTGCAGCTTGAAGTCTCTTTTTCCTTCTTCTCTCACTGCCTATTGGAACACGTACACCCTCTTCCAATTCATACAGCCTCTTCCTGGAATGGTTTTTCCGACCCAAGCATATGCACAGCTTGCAGTGCGCTGTGTAGTCCCATTGTATTCAATGTGTTTAATGTAGTTTTGGGAACTGGGGCCTACATCCTTTTATCCCTCCAGATTTCAAAGAGGTTCTGGTTATAGACTGTTTCTCATTTTAATGTGACAGTAGATGACAGCATTGACTATCTAGTTCTACATGTGTGTCTCATGTGCTTGGGCTTTGCAGTCAGATTACAAGCTATGGCTCTATTGTGGAGAAGAGATAAGGAATGTGAATAGTCTGTATGCCATTTTGCTTTATTCGTATCACAGCTCTGCCGCCTTGTTTGCACTGAAATATAAAGGTTGCCTGCCTGATCTGCCTGGTGCCCTGTCATCTCTTTGCTCTGTTGCTAAACATACATTTAAATTAATTGTGTCAGATTCCCAGATCAATAGTAATGCGTTTTGTAAACGCTTAAAAAAAAATCTGTTCTCAATCATTAAGCTGATTTGAGCCACTCAAACTGTATGTTGATGTGTATCACACCAATAGTGGAAATGAGTGAAAACTCATTTAGTAATGAGTTTTATCAAACCTTTAGCAGAAAAGAAAACAGACAGTGCCTCTTTCTGTACCAAACATTCAACTGTAAGAGACTTAACTGATCATACAACAGCTGGCGTTGGCAAGAGTGAGGTGCCTGAAGTTAAACCTTGTTTTTTAGGTAACTAAATAAGTAGTGCTTTAAAAAAAAAATGTTTTTATATTACTGGCTGTTAGTAACTGTCCCCAGATTTAGCAGCACCCTGGGTGCTTTTGTCCAACTGAATCCTGGCAAAAATCATCACTTAACTAGTATTGGCGAGCTGGAAACTGCAAAACCCACGTCCCAGCAATCTGCAGCAATTTTTGCATCCTGAAGCAAGGGTTTGTAATCCAGAGCTTTTCTCAGGCTGTGTTTCATAACAGCCCTTTGGATCTCATCAGCTTAGGAGTGACTCTCCCAAAGAGTTTTTTCCTCAAGGCAGGTTTGCCCTTTCCTGAAAAGCTGGCATTTTTGCTACTCGTTACGATTGAAATTAGTGATGCATTCTAAGCTCTCCTGTTCCTGCATGTTTAAAAGCTGAGGTCACTGGGATGCAGATAAAGTCCTGAGGGTACGGCAGAAAGGTAGAAGGGGGTGCAGGAGGCAATTGTAGAGCAATATTTTGAAAAGGTGCCTAAAGAGTAAAGAACTGTATTCAGAATGTGTATGTAGTTGTCCAAGTTTGGAAGATATGAGACTTGTTATGCAGCAGCTTGCAGAAAGCAGCAGCAGAGCCAGTGCCCCAACTCCCTGGTGCCAAAGCTGCCCCCAGCAATTTCAGTCTTCTGGACTGAGGTGTGAGGGGAACCGAGCTTTCATTGAGGGCTGGAATCTTCAGCATGCTGTTGTCCAGTGCTGGCAGTGAAGATGCATCTGGATGTCACCAGGTCACTTGGAAACTGCAGCCTCATTCATCAGATGAGTTGCTCTGAGGTTTGCTTTGGTCCCCAGGCCACTGGGATTTCAAAAGGTTTGTATTAGTGAGGCCTGGGAAGGAGGAAAGAATGCTTCCCAAGCCTTGAAGGTTGGCTGTCTCCCCTGTCTTTACCTCACACTGCTAAAATAAAATACTAGGGGGGTGGAAAAAGCATTGATTTTTCATAAGAGTATTATTTTTCATCAGTTCGGCTGATAATTAGATGTTTTAGCACATGGTTTTATAGATGAATTCTTTCGGGACTCAACTTTTTGCCTAAGGAGATTACAGTTGGAAAGGAAGAAGACCCTTTGAAAGAAACCACAGGAAGAAAGACAGAGATACATGCATATATTAAGCATGCTTTGAATACATGCCTTTTGAAAAATCCATCATTTCTTCTCAGATGCTTAATCAAACTTTGATCAAGAAGGTAATTTATGGATGTTAAACCTGCTTCCTTCAAAAGGGAAAACGTTGGAGTAGCTGGCCCAGCTCCACAACTGCATGTATCCGAATCGATATGCAATAATAATTTGACATTTACTTCTCTAGCTCGCCTTCCTGTCTAGTTGTTATTTAGTTCCTCCAGACTTTCCTGTGCATCTTGGCTTATCATGACTCTGATTCTACAAAGCACTTAAGTATTGTTTTCGGTGCAGTTTGGGCATACATCTAAAGGTGCTGTTTTTAGAAGTGTTACTGAGGAAGACAGGTGCCATGGGGGATTTTCGAAACCCCATGGAAGCTCCCTGCGGTGCACACCACCTACTACACAAAACCATCAGGCAAGAAATTGTCAGGCTTTGGAAATCTGTCTTGGCATTTGCCTGCATCTTTGGCACCTGAAGAAACTAGCTGAATGATGGAACAAGGCTTCAGTTGTTCATCATACTCCGGCTTTCCGTTAAGGGAAGATGAAAGCTTGTAAGTGAACCTACGTGACAATCAGACAAATGTTCAACTGTGAAACGTTCATCATTTCTATGTCAGCCTTAGAAATTCACCTCAGATAATTAGTCCAAACCTTTCCCTTAAACTTGATTATTTGCTGAGAAAGATTATCACTTCTGCCATCTCACTGCTGGTAATTAGGTACTCCTGTGTTTACTGTGGTGAGGGACTGGATGCACTAAGTCCATAGTGAATGAACTTGAAGTCCCCTGTTCTCCAGAGCCACCTTCAGAATCTCAGCTGGCCACAGCACATGGTGAGGGAGTGGGACAGAGTGACCCATGTTTTGCATACGTTGTTTTTTTGTTTGTGTTCTGTTTGACACTAAGGACCATCTACAAGGGAAACTTTTATGACAGATATTCTTATATGGTGGTGCTTGGTGGCTTTTTTGCTCCCATCTCAAAATGTTTTGAAAAGGCACATTAGGAAAAAAAGAAAAAAAAACTTTCCTGGGTGGCAGACTTTAATGTAATCACTGTTACTGGTACACGGAAGAACAAGGACTTGGGTTTTGTATGTTGATCTGTCAGTTATATGTAACTTCCAACAGGCCTTCAGTGATTATTAATTGCACAATATGTATAAGCTATTCATCCTGTTGTTCTTTCAACAATTACATGCCTCTTTTTTATCTTCTTCGTTGTAGCTTCAAGATAAAACTTTTTCTTTTCTTTGGCCATAAATCCTAATGTGTTGGGAGGTTTTATTCTTTTAAAGATGGAGAGAACTAATAAGATAATAAATTCCGAGTGATTACTGCACAGCTTCTGGATCTGACAGTAGTTTCATCATGTCTTGGGATTGAGCCTATAACCCTGAGGACTTGAATTTCTTCTCCTTTCATTGCTTTTATTTCTTTTCTTTTTCCTAGCCTTCATCCTGAAATGCAAAATCCATATGCAGCTGAAGTTCAAACAATGCTGTGAGTACTGAGCAGATTTCTTGTAAAACATCTTGGCTACCAGAAATATTTTGAAGTGCTCCAATGCTGGGGATGTCTGCTAACATCTACTGAAAGCGATAGCTCCTGGACCTACACATTGGAGTGTGATGCCAGTGACAGCGAGCCAGGGTGCGTTACAGAAAGGATGACCCAAGTGCAGATCAGGCACCAGGCATGCTTCGGTTCGGACCATTGTGCCCCACAGCCACCTGTGCCTTCCTGCCAGCACTAAAGGCTGCTTACTGTAAGCTGAGCAGGCTGATGGCTACAGCCCTGATGTAGGCTGCTGCTGGAGGTGGGGCATTGCATACTTGGGACACAGAGGTAGAAAAAGCCCCTGTTGTCAGTGGTGAAGAAAAAGATGTCAGCCTTGCAAGCCTCTGCTTGGACTTGTGAGACTCAGGACTCTCAGAATTGGGAATGAGTTTAAGAGATGGAGCTACACAGCTAATGGGTTCCCATGCAGCTCATGTTTTCTGTCTGAGGAAAGACTTTTTGGTTGTTTTTTGGTTTGGTTATGTTACCTATTTGCACAGAAGAATATAGCAGTGGACAGCCTGGGAGAATGATTTCCTTAAACCCCAGCGTATGGCAGCAGTCCAGTGTCTGGAGGTATGTTATAGATACATGCAGGAACAGTTGTCAGTGGAAGTTCTGCCAGAGTTTGAGGAAAACGTTTCTGAGTTCTGAAACAGTGTCTGAATTACACAGGTCATCCCAGAACGGCAGTGACATAGTCTCCAGGTTACTTTCATGATTTTTAAAATGTAGGTAGTGATCTCTCTTGTTTAATTTCCTACTTCTACTTGTCAGTCCAAACTCAACAAAGGAAAGGAAATACTTTGCGCTCAGAAGTACATTTAGGCAATGATATGCTCTGTCTTATCAATGACAAATCATTAAAATCTGCATTTCTTGTCCTGGAAGCAAATATAGTGTCCTTGTGTTCAGAGCTGAATGTAGAAACATTTCTTTGCACTTGTTCAGGTCCCAGAAAGAACAGTTGTACCCAGAGATGAGGAGAGTTTGGGAAGAATTTGGAAATGAAAAGTTCACGTACCAGTCAGGATTTTGGTGACTTTAATGACATCCTTCTGACGGAGCAAACCTGATGCATGCAAACTATAAGGACTGAAATTTATCAAACCTCTACGTTTGATAGAAGGTGAAGTGCAATGGCTTGCGGCATAACAGGATGACAGGATATAGTGGGCAGGTTGCAAGATAGCAGAGATGCACGGGAATATCATCTGGATCCCATTGCTCTATGTACGATACCCATGGCGGGGGGGAGTGTTTGTAGATAGAGTAGATGTATCATGTGTTCCATCCGTGTTACACATATTTGAAATCATCTTTGATTCATAGATAATTCATGAGCAGAAGAAAACTTATCTGATGAGCAGGCTTTGTGCAGCATTTGTGGCTGTGAGTATGTGCACGTGTGTGAAACAGAAGACGAAAATGTAACTGTCTTAGATGCTGGCAGACAGACTAACAAGATGGACTGTGCAGCAGCTGCTGAGGAACATAGGCAGAAGAGGTATGTACTGGCTGTAGCTGAGAACATAGTTGTGTTCTCCAATATAAAATGACTATTTCATATGAAGATTAGAGGTTCTTCTTATTCTGTCAAGAAAAAGGCTGAAAATTTGAATTGTGGGATGATAGCATCTTTTGGCTGTGGTATCTTTTTGACTTTTGGCATCTAACTCTTGTGTAACAGAATTGCTTTCCAAGTCCTCTTTATGTTGCTGCTCTTCTGACTGAGAAACATGCCAAGCCATGATAAGCCATAGTATGGCCTTGGCGTACGTGATAATGTGCCCTCTTAGTTGAGTTGGTTTGCCAGTCAAAAGTGTTTGAAAGGCCTTTCTCCCTCTTTTTTCCCTCCTCAAAAGTGTCTGCCTTTTTTTGTAGGGAAGTGGATTTAGCCTTCTTGTTGCAGAATCATCTCATACAGGGCTTCAGTTGTTTCAAGTCAAGAAAACTCATGACTTTGGAGGGGTTTCTCTTCTAGAATCCTTTTGCCCAATGCTTTTGTGAGCTCTTTACCTGCCAGTCTCCAACGGCACAGCTTTGAATTTCCAATTCCTGTGCAACTCTGAACTGCATCCAACATAACTCTTGGGTTAAGATTTGTATTATGCTCTAGTCCAGCCTGGGTGTAGGTTTCCAGGGCAAAGCAGGTTTATAGTTCAGTGAATCTTGCCAACAGTGTACACCTCTTAGTATCCACCTTGCATTTATCTCCACCTCCCTTCAGTCCATTGCTCTTCATGGTATGCCCATCGCTTCATCAGAGACGACTGACAGGCTGCTGAGCAGGCAGTTCTTGCAAATGGGATCAGTGGAAGCTGCAGGTGCTCATCGTCTTGCATATCACACACACACACCCTTTTATGCAGGGAAAATTGAGCAGTTTTAGGGGCAGATCCCATATGGGAGGTGGAGCAGCCAGATGTCTTATCAGAAGGAGCGGGTAGGATCCAGGGGTTACAGGGCCAAGAGGAGCTCTGAAGCCTTGATCTCGAAGCTGCTCCAGCATACCGCTGACAGCATTGAATGAAAGCAGCCCTAAAGCCAGTCTCTGTGCCCCATGGAAACCTCCTCGTACTCCCTGTGCATAGTGTTCATCATCGCTCATGTGGCAGGGTCTCCTGTGCAGAGTGCTTGGCTGGCTGCATGTCCTCACAGCACTGGTTTCGTGGTATCAGGTCAGGATCAGGAAAGAAATGATGTTTTTTACTCCATGCAGTAAAAAAGGGGAGTCAAGCTCTGTGAGACATTTTCAAACTCTCACTATTCATAAGCTTCCTTGGCGTGGAGTAGATGTGATCCCAGTGACCCACAGGGGTGCACTGGATGGTTGAACACACCGGGTGAGCCGCTGACCTCTGCTGAGTGGGATTGCAGGGTTGCTGCTGCTGCCTGGGAGAGGTTGGTTGGTGAGGATGTGTTTGGGACCTGCAGGGAGAAGGTGCTGGCGCTGGCTGCAGAGCGCTGCTGCAGGAGCTGTCCAGAAGCTGCACCTCTGCTAGGTCAGCGCCATCTGGCACGGTGCTCACCGCTGGAACCAAGATATCTGCTGCCCACAGTGCTGATGTGGCTGTTTGCCAAAGCTGGTAATGAGATGCAGGGAACTGCACGGCTAAAGGCAAGGCCAAAAGGATTCTTTCTGGCATGGCAGTTCTGAGCAGGGGAGCCTGTCACAGATTAGAGGCAGAGGACCCCATTACCTCCTGTGCCAGTAGCATAAACAGGACTTGTCAGACAGTATCTGCCGTGGTGACCACCGCTTTGTAACTGCAGGCACAGCAGAACTGCTGTGCTTTTCCACTGCCTACAGGAAACCAAAGCATGAACAGGTCCTACAGACCAGACCTTCATTTCTCCAATTGTATACAAGAGTTCACTGGAGTAACTCCAGACATACAACCAGTTTGGAAGATTGGCCATGTGAGTTTAGCTAAGTGTTAGCAGGTTTTATTCCAGTACTACAATATAGCATGTCAGCAGGAAAAGAAACCACCAAAACTAGCTGCTGTGCGCAGTAACTGTGGACAAATCAAACTGCCTTGGTTTCCCAAAGTACTATAACAAATCTCACCCTACCTCAGCAATTGTTTGGTAAATGTAATTATTTCAATCCAAGCTGCTTCGAGATGAAAAGGGAAAGCAATATTGGGCATCTTAAAATTTCTTAGGTGGAAAAAGTAGCTTGTTCTTGTGTAACCAGAGGTCTGTGACATGCATCTTATTACAAAACCGTGGTTGGCGTGGAGTCATGTCCCACTGAGGCATTGACCTTGTTCACACCAGAAAGCTCTGGAAGGACTGACAGCCCAAGTCCTATCCAAGTATGTTGCTATTTTGTTGTGTTTAGCACCATGCAGGATGCCAGTTTTCAGCCTTACTGGGAAGATTAGCAGTGAACTCCTTCTGGAGGGCAGAAAGAAGGAGGATGTCAGGATAAAGGAGCTGCTGCCTTGTTTTATTTCTATTTCTGCTCTTCTTTGTTGTCCTGCATCCCCCTATCACCCTTGTCTGCAGCCTTCTGCTGCTGCCCAACTACAGAGAGCTGGTCTGTAAATTACCAGGAGGGGGTCTGGAGCCAGATAGTTTGCATCGCAAATTCGTAGAACCACAAACTGAAAAAAGCTGTTGAGCCATCATTGTTTATAATTAGTTTTTGACTGAAGTCCCAGTCTGCTATAGGGAATGGTTTTATCTTAGTGTATGTGTGGGTGGGAAGAGAAAAGTAGAGAACTGAATCAAGGAACCAATCCTTATCCTGAGGGGAAGAAAGAGCTGGGTAGTATAACTTAACCCCATGGGATCAAAGGTGGGCCAACACAGACATAAACACCTTTGCACTATGTTCTCGCTCCCTGAGTTTGCTGATTTAAATAGTAAATACTAAGCTAGGACAACAAAGCACTTACCCTGGAGATACACACCTTCTTTTCTTTTGGTCAGATGGTGATTGGCAACCCTCACTCTGTTCTGTGTCTAAAACCCTCTCCAGTCTGTCCAGGCCTGATGCACCAAGCATTGCACTTCCACCCCTAGAATAAGGCTATGTAAGTCCTTTTTCCATCACAGCTGGTTTCCCACTACAGACTAAGAGGAGAAAAAGAGGACCTTTTCTTGCCTGGGATTTGGCTGTAGGAAAGCAGTTGGGCAGCTCCCTGAATGTGAGCGGCCACAGGACTCCCACCAAAGCATCCCATCTCCTGGCTAGGGCTGGCACCTGGGGTTCCTCACCACTCTGCCTTCAGCACAGTCCCAGGGAGAAATCTCCACTGTTTGCTGTGCCCTGGCTCCCCCAGCCACTGATGAGCTGTAATAAAGCCTGCCTTACATCTCACAAGAATGTCAAGTGGTTTAATGCGTGTTTACAGAAGGACCCAGAGATTTTTGGATGAAAGACATTGTGTAAGCACCATGTGGTTTGATGTGCTGCCATCTTGGTACCCGAAGGATAACTTTAAGGATACAAAAACCTGTATTCATATTCTTGTGTTTTGGGAGGGCATTTGCCTGTCTGCAGAATGAAAATCTGCTCAGACCAGAAATTAGCTGATGAATGAAAAAACAAAACAAAACAAAAAAAGGCTTGCATATTTGTCTGTATTCCCAAACAGTGTGCTACTTGTTCTATACCACTGCACCGACAAGTCATTGTTTAAAAAAAAAAAAAAAATACATTCTTCTTGCAGCTGGACTGTGGGCACTGTTAAGTCTTTCATACTCCACATGTTTAAGTACCGTGCTGAGAACTGCTACATTTGTTCCAAAACACATGGAAATCAAACAAAATAGTAATAGAAAAAATGCACACTGCAAATTTTGTCTTTGGCATTTGATCCTGTTCATCTGATACCATGTTTTCATCTGAGGATAATTTAAATATTTAAAGCCACATGTATTTCTGCTACTAAAATTGGTTTGGTTAGATTGGAATTATAGCAACTCATAAATAGGGCTTCCTACTGAAGTTTGTTTAGAATTTATTCTACAGAAAGAAATAAAGATGAGATGAGATTGCCTAGCTCCCTATTTCCACTGTCCTTTTATTGCAACATCCTCCTGGTAGAATGCATTGAGTCCGACAACCAAGTTTCGCCATAACATTAACTGGCAGGGGAGAGGCTGCTCCAGAGAAGCCTTCTCCAATCTCTTGTTCCTCTGATCAAAATTCTTCTATCTCCTGGCTAGATGCATTTCCATCTTTCACGTATTGCTTTGACCTTCCTGCAATGCTGCCCTCTAGCAGCAGTAGCCTTTAACATCTTGCCAGCTGAAGCTGGGTGCAAGGATTACTTGAATCTTGATGTCATCACTTGTGTCACTCCTCAGTAAAGAACCTGAGTAAAGGAATGTAGGGGGAAATTCCTTTCAGTGCCCAAACATCTCCAAAGTCTTCCTCATAGCAGCAGCCTCCAGGTTATCTGTTGCTCTTTGTTTTAGAGGACACGGGAATGCCAGGCAGTGCAGGGTGCAGCACTGCCACATGCGTATGTGTGGGAGGGGCAGCCAGAGAGTTTTGCAGGGCATTGCCCCATTCTCTTTCTCATCAGTACCGAGTTCTGAGGGTTTCACCTCACTCTGCCGATGGCCTGTGGGTTCCTCTTGAACATCTAAGCACGTGACAGAAACTAATTCCTCATTGTGCAAAAGTCCCCAACAAAACTGTTTGTGTTAGACATTTATTCCCCAGCACACAGCCTGTCTGAGCCCTGACCTTGTTTTCAGTGGACATCCAAAGTTCCCAGTGACTTAAATGTGGAAGTATTGTAGGAGTAGTGTTGGAAACTTGGCAAAATGCAGGAAGTTATTATCTGGTAGCTAATTGACTATTTCCTCCTTCAGACATTTAATTTCATTTTAATGACTGTGGGGAAGTCTTTGCAGAGAGACATTTCCCCCCACCTCCTTAGCTAATGTAGAGCAAATCCTTCCTAATCTGGTAGTGGTTTTCCAGCAGAACAATCTCTATTTGTGCAATTGGTCTCATTAACAGAGTTGTGTCCTGGGGGAGACAGGGGAAAGATGCATGGATGAAATGATGTAACTGGGTAGAGAGTGAAAAGAATTTGCACAAATAATTTGTATATAATTCTTTCCATAATCTTAGATTTACACAGTGAAAAAATCTAACTACTTAACGTGGGGACTAGAGAACATAAAATAATTATATAGAGAATGAACTAATTTGACCAACTACTGTGTTAAAGCAAAACAGTTATTACCACCAAGCTGAACACGAATTACGTCCACCCACCTTTTGCTCATTTTTTGCAGACATCCAAGTGTTAGGCTGCACAGAGTTCCAGAGGGCGGCTCCTACTTGCATTAACCTACTGCCTCAAGGACATAGCTTTGTGCTGAGCACACCTCAAAGTCCATTTTACATTACCTGGCTGTAATCCAGGGCCATTGACTTCAGTGGCAAATCAACCCCTGACTTCACTGATGCCAGGATGAATTCCACAAGGGTGCTGTAAATTCCTCTCCATGTCATTGTACATTGGTCTGTTCCTACCAGAGGTATTCAGGATGTAAAAAGGCTCAGCATTATATGTAACAGTGAGGCCTATCTTTTTACAGTCTTTCAAAGTGAGGAAGAATTCAAGGCACTTTTAAAGCTCTCTCTAGCTGGAATGGAATATTCTTTAGAAAGGAACTAGAATAAAAGGCACTGAATATTCTGTTTTTTGAATCATCCCTATACCCAGAGTGATTTCCTGACTTATTCCCATCTCCACCTCTTTTTGTGAAAGACGCACGTGTCTGAGCAGTAGCAGAAACGTAATGTGCCATTTCAGTGATCAAATGGGTATCTCAGTGAGGGATGAGTAGCAGCATCATCACATCATGCAGTCTGCAGTTACATCTGAGATTTTAAAATATATATATATAAATAAGCAATAGCAATGAGTGTGTGAATTTCAGCTTGTGGGTGCCAAGTACAAAACTCAAAAGGGCTGAGGCCAGGAGATAAAAAGTTGGAGAAGTCAGCACTCAAAACTGAGAGAAGTCCTGTGGACTTCCAGCACCTCCAACCTATAACTAAGGCCGATTAGCTGCTGAAGTAATTTCATGTCCGTTTTGTATTTGACATAGTGAACTGATGTTTCCTTCCTACTCTGTGTTTAGCACTGGACATGTCAGAAGCTAGAGACCCAGTCCTTCTGATGGAGTGGTTTGCTGTGGAATCAATCACAGACTGACACCCACAGCTCTTTGGGGAGCAGGGATTTTCCCTGGGGAACTGCAGGTCAGCTCATCCTGCCATATCTGGCCCATGAGGAGACATCCACAAACTTGACTACCAGAATTACATTAAAAACAAGAGAAAGAAAAACAGTAAGGCAGCAAGAGAGTTACAGAGAGATCCAAAGGGGAAACTGTCGGTTTCCACATCTGGTTTGCAGATCTGTGGTGGTCCGGGAAGCACTTTCAGGTGGTCTCCAGAGCTGTTTCCGTCACAGTAGTAGTTCTCAAGCACTACCACTTCCCTCTAGGTATAACCCAGGCGCTGAATCTTTTAGTAACACTAGTACTGAATAGATGAGGAGACGGCTAGGGGCCTCAGTTTTGGTTTGCCAGAGATCAGATACATAGGGCAACATTTGGACAGGTTTTCTAATATTCAGTAGACTTGTACTCCTCAGTAAATCTGTTTGGCTTTCAGAGGGGCTGTTGTGGAGTCAGTAACTACTCAACGTGAATGAGGAGGTCAGAATCTGTCCTTTAAGTGGGAAGAATGACATCCCTTAAAACTACAGCATTTCTATTTCACATTTTCACAGCTTTTACAACTGGAATAAAAATGTCGTCTCTTCAAACCCCAGCCCAAATTATGAAGTGATTGCAGAAAATTCCTGTGGACTACTCTTCAAGAACAAGATGGATGGGAAAATAATAAATGTGAATCCCAAGGTAAATGTCTTTTTTTTTTGCAGTATTCTGAATTCCCTTTATGCAATGGAGTTTGACTGCTAAACTGTTGAGTCTGATTGCAAATAGTTTCTTTATCAATATGCAGCTAATATTTCAGGCTTACCCAGACATGCTATTCCCCTTGTTAACACAGCTGCTTTGGTCCCTGTAAGGATAACCTCCACTTACCGTGTTTATGACTGAGTAGGCCTTTCCCTTGTAAAGGAAACCAGAAGTTGAACTGACTGGTACAAGGGAAATGTCTTCAAAGCTGGGTTTCTCTTCTACCTTCTCCCTTTCCTTGGCCTTTCTTCCAACCAGAACTACAAAGTGTTGCCATCACTGCCAGGGTAGGCTGCACACTGGGGCTGTGTTCTATTAAGTGCCTTGCCTGGAATTGCTACGGAGGGGGGAAACATTGGGAGAGTGAGCAAATGGAGGAGGAAAAGCAGGACTGGTTGGAAGATGTGAGGACTGGAGCATGGAATTATATCAGCAGGTACATCTGGTGTGGGAAGACACTGTGTTTTTCTCAGAGGATCACACATGCCTCTAGCTGAAGGGAAAAGCTGTTAAAATGTTGGCAAAGCAAATTGGGGCTGGTGGTCCCTATATTCACCTCCTCTTAAAAATCAAACCTCTGTTATGAAGAGTGCCTGCAGGTGGGTAAAAGTAAATAAAAATGGAGCTACTCTGAAACAAAAGCTGCAGCTTGCAGCACCTGTAATATCCCAAATCCTGGCAGGGCCCTCTGAACACCAGCAAATCCAGAAAGCAGAATCAGTTCCTTCATCTGAAGCATGGGCTATCTTGCACACTAGCACTTTCACGGAGGTAAATGGAAGCCAGCAGCATTCCCAGTATGAACCATCATTACTCTTCCTTAATACAAAAGATTTGGGAAGTCCTGAGGAAAGTGATCCTATTTATTTTGTTCTTGTAGCAGACTGAGATTGTCACAGTTGAATACAAACAAAGCAAATGCTCTCACATGCTGAAGTCATACCCAGACATCCCTTTCTCAGCCATAGGTGAAAACTGATTAAATCATGACACGTACTTGTATCTTTTCTGTTGAGAGCTGAATGGGTAGTATCACTATAGACAACTTCCTTCTGTATGAAACCGTCTGTGTTTGGTGCTAACTGCACTTCTTTAAACTTTACAACTGAAGTTTTTGGACTGTAGATTGAATGTGACAAACACACCCAGGATTTGGTTACTCTCAAAACCAACATGAACTAAGCTGGGCAATAATTTGTTTGGGTTTGTGCAGAACAGATCCTAGGATGATGGTTTCTTTGATGTGCTTCCCATGAAAGATGGTCGCGTATGAATAGTAACAGTACAAAATATCAAATTATATGCATTTCAGAATAAGTGCATTGGTTTGCTAGAAATTCAAAAATGCATACCTAAAAATGTGTTTGGTTGCATTGAAAGTGGGCCACCAATCTAACTTCCTGCAGCTGCAGAACATCTGTAACAAATAAGCAGCTCTTGACTGTCTATGTGAAAGATCCTCGCATGCCAACAGCCAGGCTAGGAAGCATTTGTGTGTGTACATTGTGTCCCCCACAGGTTGCATGGCACAAACCTGTGACTGCCTTAGAGATCCATCTGGTTTTGGCGCTTCTTTAGTACTTGCTCAAGCAGACAAAGCTTTTGACAAAGTTCAGGACAAACTGAAATGAGTAGGACTTCTCTCTTGTGCTGGTTTCAGCTTGACCAGACTTAGTGCCAGCTGCCTGATCTTTGCAACTGGACTTTCTCTTTGACCAAACAGATGATGGTCCAGTTGTTCCTAGTTGCACGTAGCTAAAAGAACTCTATTACTCTCTTTCACAGAATCATCTAGGTTGGAGGAGACCTCCAAGATCATCTAGACCAACCTCTGACCTAACACTAAAAAGTCCTCCACTAAACCATATCACTAAGCTCTACATCTAAATGTCTTTTAATGTCTTGTAAAGACCTCCAGGGATGGTGACCCAACCACTTCCCTGGGCAGCCCATTCCAATGCCTCACAACCCTTTCAGTAAAGAAGTTCTTCCTAACATCCAACCTAAAACTCCTCTAGCGCAACTTTAGCCCATTCCCCCTCGTCCTGTCACCAGGCATGTGTGAGAACAGACCAATCCCCACCTCACTACAGCCTCCTTGAAGGTACCTGTAGAGTGCAGTAAGGTCGCCCCCGAGCCTCCTCTTCTCCAGGCTGAACAAGCCCAGCTCCCTCAGCCGTTCCTCGTAGGACTTGTTCTCCAGACCCCTCACCAGCTTTGTTGCCCTTCTCTGGACTCACTTGAGCACTTCCATGTCCTTCTTGTAGTGAGGGGCCCAAAACTGAACACAGTACTCGAGGTGCGGCCTCACCAGAGCCGAGTACAGGGGGACAATCACTTCCCTAGCCCTGCTGGCCATACTGCTTCTTATGCAAGCCAGTGCAAGAGAGAGAAATAAGACTGTCTAGCACCTGAACACCAATTTCCATTGAGAAATCCCCATCCTCAAGCCTAGTTGCACTTATTGAACTTTATGTTCCAAGGGAACAAGCAGACTGATGAAATGACAGAAATATGCCTTGACTTTTCTGACTGCCTATCTGTAATATTCTCTGTTTCAGGTCTACCCAGGAGACAACACAACACGGACACCTGTTAAAACAAATCTCTATCTCCACATGGTTATCTACGACCACATCGTTGGAAGAGAACCCTAAGGTCCCTTTTCCTCCCAGTGATTCCTTTAGCTACTTTAAAGTCATTTGGAAGAAAAATAAACAGGTTAAAAAAATAAAAATAAACAGAAAGACCTTTACCTTGTGTTTAGGGGAAGGAATGGGATTTTTGTGCTGGTTTAGTGCTGTTTTTTGCCTAGCTCAAGAGAAGTAACATGGAAAGAAGACTCCACACTGCTGTATAGTCCATGTATCTGGCTCCCTTGCTTGCCCTCTGTGAAGTCCCACCGGGTGTGTGAATTGCAGAATCACTTAGAAGGAAGATAGATTTGGAGCCAACGTTCCTACTGCTACTGAGGCTGCAGGGTGACCAGGACAGATGGAGGTGCTGCATTCTTGCCTGGAGTAAAGAAGAAGCTACTGTCCTGTAGTTCTCCAACAATGAGGTATTTTAAATTCCTCCTGGGAGTCTCTTTTTCAGGCAGACCTGGATTTGTGTTGAGCAGCTAACACCATTAAATATGGACCAAGTCATTCACGTGGTAGTGGAGGGAAATCACTCCACTAGACTGGTAAATATAAAGAAATCTGCAGCACTTTGATGAGTGGTTCCTTGAAGGCCACTTTTCATCCATTCCTGCTCTTGTTGCTGTTCTAGTACCAGCTTGCCAGAAGTTCAGGCAGCAGTGCAATGGCCCAAGGGACTCTCTTACCTTCCCAGGGCACTTAGGTACGTTGCCCGTACTTACATGACCCAGCTGGTAGAACCACCAATGTGGTTCAAGTCTGGTTACTGGAAAATGGCACAAAGCTAAGTGGCAGACAGAACTTGCAGGAAACAAAAGAAATAATTACATAGAAAAGAAGAAGGATGTGGAGGTGAAAGCAGAGGAAACAAAGGCAGAAAGGGGCTGGATAAAATTCCCTGGACCTTGTTTGAGGGACTGGATGATTTTCATGATCTTTGCTGGCCTTAGCACTTTTCACTTTTTGTGAAAAGGACAAGGGAGGGAACCAGACAAGAAAAAAAGATGGTAGCAATGCTGCTAGGCTTACCATAGGGTGGGGTTTATCTACCAGCCTCATCACAAGCATGTTCCCTTTGGAAAAGGCTGAGAGCCTTGGTCTTAGCAGTTGGCGCATTAAATATCCCTTTACTGCAAGGAGAAGGGAGTGTTCCAACAATTACAAAGTGAAAGTTGTTACTTCAAAGCTGCAATAATTTGGGAGAGACTTAGAAGCCTTGTTTTCGTTCCCATAAAACTTTCAATGTTATGAACTTCTGCCATTTCCCAAATATAATAAAATCTTTTACTGTAACGTCTTGCTTTTACACAGAGTGCTCCGTCCCGTAGCACCCGGACAGGCTGGAGGTTGGTGTGCTCGTCTCTGAACCGCAGTGGGGTTGCGGACGAAGCTCCGGGATCATGGCGAGGCTGCTCAAGGTTTTGGGCCTCGCCTCCACCACGGGGCCTCGGCCTCTGCCTCCATCGCCGGGTCAGCAGAGCCCCCTAGTGTAGACGAAGCAGATGCCAGCAGGAGAAGGTTCCCTACCCGCGGCGGGCACCCACTGCAGCCCTACACATCAGAGGTGCTGGAAATACACCAAGGGAAAAGGCTGCTCGGAGGGCAAACAGGAAAAGACAAATTGTGTCTCTTCCAAGGGCTGGTGATGGAAAGACAAAAAGCTCAAGACTTGGGTAACTCTGGTTTTGGGGAGGACCGTGTGTGGAAGACGTACATCTGTAGAGGGAATACCATGCTCTGTTAGGGCAGACTTCTGACCTTGGTGCTTCTAGGTGTTTTCTTCATTTAACAGTACCAAACATGAAGATTTCCATCATTCCTTGCATCACATCGAAAAACTAGGCTTTGTGGTTGCTTCAGTCTTGATTTGCAGCCCCTGTATCTTGAGGCAGCTCAAGGAAAGGGCTAGAGATTGACTTACTAAATATTTTCATAGCATTAAAGCAAAATTGCCTTGATAGCACAGCTTAGATTTTGGGATCTGTTTTTCACGAGACTAAATCAGAGAGCCTGAGTCATTCTGAAAATATTAGTTTTTGCCTTTCTTGAACACTGGAGAGGAAGAAATGCTCATTGTGAAGACTGATAGAAGGGACAATTGGTAGAAAATTATATTTTTAATTCTTCTCAACAAATGAACTGCCATTATTTTCCTCAATCTAATCAGTTTTCAACACGATTCTTAAAAACCTAAGTTGGAAAGTGGTCCCTGGAGTTTCGAGAGCTTTATCTCAGTGTCATAATAGTAGTAATATAAAAAAAGAGGGAAAGAATTAGTGAAGTAAAACATAGCAGAAGAAATTTTTTTGACTTTAGAAGTTGTTTCCATGTATTAAACTTCCTTTGTTTTTATCTTGTTGGTTAATATTGTTGATCCTGTTGAAGAACCAGGAGTCTAACAGAGTGCTGTGTACATCTGTAGGAAAAAGGAAGGGAATTACGACCAAGTGGGCTTTATGTGTTTTCAGGCCAGTGAATACAGCAGTGGACTGTATATCCTTAAAGATGGGTAACTGGAAGGCTGTAAAGATATATGAAGCCTCATCTTTTGCAATTGGTGCTTTGGAATTGTAATTTCATGCAATTTCTGACTGGAGTGATAAACCTCATTTGAGACAAAAGTCTGTAGTGTCTGATACAGAAGAATAATACTCGTTGAGCTTACTGAATTACTGACTGCTCGGTAAACTCATTAGATTTCTTCCCAGCCATCCTTGCCTGTGAGCTAACCTCCTGGTGTCCTGTCTCTTCTGACGTTCAAAACACAGGACCCCAGAGCATTATCACAAATGAAAGCTCGTGAATTACATGTCATAGTACTTTGCCAGTCCAAAGGACTGAACCTAGCCTCTGCTGTAAGTGAAAATGTGTCCCCAAACACTTCTGTAGTCTGGCTTGTGTTTTTAAAGAAAAGGTTCATTTCCTTAGACAAACAGAATAGTGCCTAAAACCAGCTAAGTGCAGTTTCCCTAAAATGACAGTGGTGGTTTTCCCAGCATCTTGTCACTGTTCAGCTTTGGGTAGACACATTGCAAAGTGGACATGCCAAACACATGGTAATCAAGAGGAAAGCTTTCCAAGGACTGATAACCACATGAAAGCTCCCTGAATATGCTCCTATGCTCTGTGACTCTTCAGCAGAAACAAATACAAACTGTCCAGCCTGAAATTATTGCCTGCTATAAATGCAAGGGGACTGGAAATTTCTGTATTTTGTTCTGAAAAGAAACCCTGTATCATTGCTGATCATGACATTTACTGCAGGGACAGAGTGGGCATGCTGCCATAAGATAATTGATTTTAGGCATCGATGAGAAAGTGCATCCTTGCAAAGGACCCGCTGAACTCAGGGCTTTATACCAATGTGTGTTTTTTTTCAAGCGTGTTTAAACTGCATAAATGAGTTAATGGACAACAGATACTATTAGCCTGTATATGTTTTGGATTCTTTTATATTGCTTTATCCCCCCTGCCAAAATTGTAGCCCTCTTCTTTTTATGTGGAGCATGGATCTTTGGTCTTCTTTGCAGGTTCGTAACATTTTTGTTGTTGTTATTCTGGATATTAAAGTGAAGCTGAAAAATAGAGATTGGTGATGAACAGCTCCATCCTGAGCTACAGACAGAATCACAGGAAGGGCTATTATTTAGTATTAAATACTGTGCTTTGAAATGTCATTTTAAACCAAGATCTGAAGTTTGTTGCCCTTAAACTATAACAACAGGATGGTTTGACATAGTTGGAAATGTCTTGTATTACATTAAATGAAAGTCTGGTGAGTTTGGTGTGGAGAGGCCTCAGCAGCTTTTCATTCTCAGACCAAAAGTGGTTTCATGGAAGGCCAGCTGTATGAGGAACCCAAGCAATGCAGGTAGTTAAGCCCCACACTTAAATTTTATGGCTATTTAATAAGGTATCTGAAAACGCAGTGGCACTGCCTGAACTCTGAAATTCGTGATTCCAGCTGCAGCCTTGCCAATCTAGTTGTCTCTTCACAGCTGAAAGAAGGAAACAGATGATGCCAGTACCACCTCAGTAGCTGACCCCTATCTCACGTAATGAACAACAAGACCTCCAAGGAGCATACAACTTGTTTGTTAGCTGTTCTCCTTTTGGCCATCAGTGAAAGAAGTTGTAGGGGAAAATCCTCCATTAACTCCAACTCCCCACGTACAGAAAAGAAATCAGATTAAAAATGAATAAAACCTTTGGGCAATTCTCTGCGAGGCAGGCAGGGACAAGCAGTGCAGGCCAAGCCACTGTTCCCACTGCAAAGAAAACAAAAACACAGGTGCTGAATGTACTGAAGCCATGCAGATTAGCCCTGTGTGCAGTACATGCTCTTTACAAGAAGAAAAAACATCATTCTTGTTATTTGGCTATTGTTCGCTTGAGGCATGTTTTATTTCAGCTCGACTCCAAGCAGAGTTATTATAGATCCCACAGCAGAAGTTCTCTGTGATGAGAGAAACATGTGATCTCCGGGCCCTAGAGAAGAAATTATGCTGGGAAGGCACCTCCAACGGGAAGGCTGATGCTGGCCACCTGAGCAAACACCCAGCCTAGAGAGCATAAAAAAGCAAGCAAAATGGATATATGTAATGGCTGTACACAGGAGTGCTTTGGTTGAAGTTTCTCCCAGTGATGCTGCCTAGAGAAAGATGATTTTTTTGGTACGCATCTCTAAGACCAAGAGCTAGGAGGCATAATGGGAGAGAGCACCGCGTTGTTCCCCAGTTAAAGAATGGAGAGACAGTTTGTCATTTTGCAGTTGGTGTAGTGCAGTTCCAAACGCAGCTTGCTGATGTGCTGTTTAGTGTTCTCCTGTGCTGGTTATGAACTTTATGGCATTGCACGTGGAAACGTGCGTATAGGGGATGCAGGGGAATGATTTGGCTTGGGATCAGTGAGTCCATCAGAGCTGACAGCAGTGGAGTCTGCTGACTGGGTCATGGACCAAATCCAGTGAAAAGAGACAAGGCTGCTGCAGAGTGATGGCTTTTGGGGCACAGAGGGAGCACCTTAGTCAGACCTTCTGGGTCTAGTAAGAGTGGGGCTGGCTTAGGGGGGTTGGACACATGCTGCTGGGAGCAAAGCTGGTGTCACTGACCCACGGACATGGTGGCAGGAGCCCACCTGAGAGGGGCAAACAGATGGTGCAGAGGGCTGGTGTGAGCAAGCTGAAGTGAAGCTGCAGGGGCTATTCACCAGATGACACTGAGGAGAAGTGGATGTAGGAGCCACAGCAGTGGAAACTGCTTTTGTAAGTAAATTCTGGGAAGCCTGAAAGCCAGGCAACTAATAAACGCAAATGTGGGATTGGCCTTCACATGCTGAACAGATTTTGCTAATATCACTTTGTTATGCAAATATGTAATTATTTCATTTCCCCCAGAAAGAGTATTTGTGGTTTCCTCTTCCCCGGGACTTCCGAATGCTTGTGTGGAGGGAACAAATAACTGTGAAGTTACCAGGTATGTGCATTACATGGCAAGCTCTGAAAAGGTGGGAACCTGGACATTTTTGGTGGAGGTTTTAAACAGCACTTTTGAAAGGGGCTGCTGGGGGATGGTGAGGTTGGCTCTGACAGTGGCACAAAAGTTGCTCATCATTTAAATAAAGTTAATTAAGATTGAGGCCTACGAGGTGCCTGGGGCTAAGGAATAAATAGGCTAGGTTGCTTACAAGTTCAGCTACTGTACAGTAACGTGTATGAAGCGCACATCGGAGTCTCCATGGTGGATCAGATTGGAGCTGTGGTAGCAAAGAGCTGCCAAGGCCCAGCAGGGAAGGAGCAGGATCTGCACACTGGAACAGAGCTGTAGCTCGGAAGGCTGATTGACACATGTAGATAACCTGCTGTAGTCCTCAGCAGTGCAGGAGAGAGCAAATGAGAAGCATGCACTGACCCTCCCTTTCTGTAGTACCACAGGTAGAACAAGCACACGTGAGTGATCAGCTTGGAAAGTCCAGTCCTGCCCAACTGAAAGGCAAGTAACTTCTGTAATTACTAAAGGGAAGAAAAAGGAAGTCAGGCTGTCTTATGCATAGCCAACATTTCACATAGTTTCAATTCGATTCTGCCTCAGATGTCTGTCTGCAAGTGCATCTGTAGACACAAGCTTACACGCACCAGCTGGCATTCAGTGCCTACTTCTGGAGCAGCATTATTTGACCCCTTCATGTCTTACCAGTTTTTTCTGACTGCAGAGCAGAGTAAGAAAAAAATAGTACTAGATTACCTGTAGCTGTCCAAATGGCTATCTTAGCTCCACAGATGGAAATGTAGAGTGACCATGCTGGATAGGATGGAGTCACTTCATAATCACACCAGTGTGTGTGCAGAATTTGTCCCATGTGGTGATGGTTATTCCTTTTGTCTGCCTGCATGTTTTGTAGCTTTTCATGCCCCTACAGCTGTTTTTTGTAGAGACCTGCCCTCCAGACTGACTAAGACCTGATCTGTACATTTGTACCAGAATGATTTGTATTCTGTGCAGAAAGGCAGATGAGTTTATTTGGATATTCCAGAAGAAGTGATTTAGGAAGTTGGACAGTGTTTTGAGATTTGGAGCCTGTCAGTATATCATACTGAAATGTTTGCCTTGTTTTTATAAACACAGGAAAGGCAGGTAAGCTTTTATTCCACTCTGTTGCTTTGATGATTATGCCATTGAGCTGCTACATTTGGCAAACCAAGACAGAAAAAAAGGGGGAGGGAGAAAAATAAGAAATTAACACCACATTTAGTCATCTCCATTAAAAATGCAAAATACGTAGTGTTTCTGCACCAAGTTCAGACTCATTCTGCACAAATCATTTTTACTGCTGTTGCATCAACGTCAAGGCCCAAAGCGTTCTTTAACCCTTCTTAGCCTTCTGAATAAGCTTCTATGGATGAGCCTCTATCAGTAGAAAATGGGAAGAGCCGATCAGTGTGCCTGTTAGCCAGGTGGACCCAGATTGACAGACAAGTTAAGGTGCTCCATTACTCTGAGTTTCTTCTCTTCAGGCATAACTGGGATCAGTTCTGCAGGCAGCTGAAAAGCTGAGAGCAGAGTGGAGGTGTTAAATTGAAGAACTTACTGACAGTTGTTGCCCTTCCTAGGTCAAAGGCTTACTTGATGAAAATCATTGCAGCTTAAATCAGTGAAGGAATAGCAGTTGAATCTCAGGGGAAAAAAACACACACATGCACAACATTGCCAGTCTTTCGAGCATGGCTACTAAAACACAGTGAATCTTGGCTATATATTGTGGAAATGAGTGAATCACTGTACTTTGTGTCCACTGAGGATCTGGCCCAGAGAAAAGGCCTCAGGATTTGCTTGTGTACTGACACAAAGCAAACAACAGCTTTTGGCTCATATGCGTTGCCAAGAGATGTGTCAGAGAAGCACAGGATCGAGCCCTAAGGTGGACTTCTGCAGTACTCCACCTATTACTGACCTCCAGGTAGAGTATGTCCAATTAACACTGACCCTTGAGCCCAGTTGTTCAAATGTTTTTTTTCACCCATCCAGGTGGTGAAACGCTAACTTGAATACAGTACTGTTGTGAGACAGTGGCAGAATCCTGGCTGAAGTCAGCTAAACGTTGTCCACTGGTGCCCCTCATCCATCAGTCCGGTCAATTTATCACAAAAAGCAATCAGGTGGGTCGGGCATGACTCACCCTTGGCAAATCTGACCATTCCCAGACATGTTTTTCTCCCTTGTGTGCCCAGAAAGGTGTCCCAAGAGGACGTGTTCCATGTTTTCCCCAGATACTGAAGTGAGACTGTCAGTTCAGTCAACAAAAAAGTACCTGTTGGTGCACCTCCTCTTGACAATGGAGCTTTGACAGGTGTACTGGAGGAGACTTCTGTCTCCCACACCCCGACAGTCCCCCCTGTCTTTCCTATACAAGAGCACAGTTCAGCTGTTAGAGAGCTTCTTTATGCTGATAGGCAACAGTGCTTAGCTTCTAGTACTTGGGGATCGGTTGCTTAGAGGTCATCATAGGGTGAAACTGAGCCAGGACTTGCCCATTTTTCTGGGAAAAGATTCAGATCTGACCTTTTCATTTGGCCTTTTTTATAGAAAAGTTTAAAATGTCAGAGCAGCACCATGGCCTTCATATTTCTTCCTTCGTTCCAAAGCAGAGCTAGCAGAGTTTCTTTCAAGGGGCTCTCCGTTTGCTTTTTGGAAGATAGACATTTAACTTGTTCTTTTTTTAACCGCGAGCTAATCTGGAAGCAGGAGAAATTGCTGCCTTAATTAAAAATTAGTACTAATTGTGTCAGAGAACGAAATGTAGCAAAACCATATCAGTAAATGCTGACATGTGTAATCATTGTGTAATTAAGTATAGTATATTGGCCCTATGAAACTTGGCCCATCAGTGCAACCAGGCTAGAGACCCATCTGCTTCACTTGGAGCAGAACTCAGGCCACAAAATATATTAAGAAAAACTGCAGAACTACATTTCCATTCTGGAAGTAGCGCCAGTGTCAAAATATCTACTGAAAACCAAACCACAGGTTCTTTCCATGGCCCTCATTGCTGTTTGTAAAATGTTATTTAAGAAACTGAGCTGAAAAGATGCCCGTGGAGAATTTCAGATGGGAGGTAGTCAGAATCCAAACTAACCAACCACAATTTATTTAAACCAAAATATTTCATTTTAAAGGAAACCATTTTCTCACTTTGCCAGATCCCTTTGCCTACCTCTCAATGTTTTAATACATCCATATCTTAGCAATAAACATTGATAGAGAGAAAGAAAACAAACCATGGCTGACAGGATAGCATGGTAGCTTCTGCCAACTCATCAAAGGCCATTAAGTGTGCAAACCAGCAGTGATGAATATTCATCAATTGATGAAAGAAGTATTTCCCCCCACAATCAGCAAATTCAGATGCTGCTTTCAGATGCAGAGACTGTTGTTTGTGTGCCAAGATCTATATTTTTCAAAAGTGGGCACTGATCTGCGGAGCGTCTTTTCCAAGTATCCACATGGCTGTCACTGAAGGGGAAGGGTACAGAATTATCCTGGGGGCTCGCGATCTAGCTCAGGAATATGGCTTTGAAGTGGAAAGTCACAGCAGCACAACTCCAAGAGTATCTTCACGTCGGCACGGACAGCAAACCGGCTGACCAAATGCCTGCTGTTGGATGAGCTGAAGCATCTCTTCAGGTTCCTCTGCCTCCATCGGTTAGAAGGGGACACCCAGCTAGACCAGGCACCTGCAGTTAGGTGTCAGTCTCCACCAATATGCACCCTTCATAATAGCATGTATTTGCGATGGTCCCCCATTCGAATTTCAGATGTACTTAAGTGACTGAAAGTAGCAGGTTCACTGACTGATTTTGGCACGTCACCCCACACTTCTACTTTCGCAGTTCAGGGGAGCTTTGAAAAACCATCTAATATCGTGTAATGCCTGGACTTACGCTGAAGGCTGGCACTTCCCGGTGTCTTTGCACCGTACCAGCTGTGTGAACTAAGAGTTGCAATGCGAGCTTGTAGCCAGGAATATTTTCTGTTGAGTGCTGAGCGCATGTTTAATGCATGCTTAAAAAATGCAACAAGATGGATAGGAAATCACTCTCAGTGGTTCTGAGCTGTTTAGTTTTAAATTAAACACAGCTTTTTCCTGCCAAGACTTGATTTACTTGCTAGATGAGGACCAGTAGGCCACATGCTTCCTAGCCTTTTGGGCAGACTGGTGTGGGCTGAGGGCATTGCGTAGACGGGGTCCTTTCAGTGCAGCATCACTGTGCAAGCTGACATCTGTAGCATGCTGTCCTATAAAAAACAGTAATAACTGGGACTGTTCCCAGTTCTGAGGCAATCATACCAGCAAAGTGACCTTGACAGCTGGGATGAGCTGGTTTCTTGCTGGTCAGCCATGGCAGAAAGCTCACTGACTGGAGAGGCCACGAAGAAGAAACCATCCCAGGGAGATGGTCCTTTCAATTCAGAGTAAGCTCTGGTTTGGCATAGTACGTTGCTGAAGTACTGTACGGTAAGCCTGATATTTATTATTAGTAGAATTATAGAGTAATTTTAGCATGCATGAGGCAGCATGATGGAATTACAAGCCTGGAGTCTGCTTATACTGATATTAGTGTTAAACCATCCTGCTGGGTTTCATGGGGACAGGAATACTGCTCAAGGGAGTATCTCATCCACTGCGAAAACACTTCTGTGACAGGCTGCAGGTGTGTTAACCACTGCCCCCAGCACATCTGTACCTCAGGTCTGGCCTTCAGATGACCATAATGAAGGCAAGTTCTTCATCTGCCCCTCAGCACACCCCAAAAGCAGCATTGAGTGGCAGAGCTCAGGCAGCAGGTGGAGGATTGCCCGCAGGAAGGGCAGCTGGCAGGGCTGGGAGGAGCAGCTCTCCTGCTTGCATAGTGCCTCAGGGGACTTCCCTGCCCCCTCCCCTCCTACCAGAGCCTCAGCAAGCCAACACTGAGTCAGGGGCTGTCGTGCTGTCAGTTAGGAGTGGGGCATAACCAAAAGATGCAAAGCAAGGTCAAGTATATTAGTATATCCCCACCCAAAACCATGCAGAGATCAGGAGTCATTGAGCTATCACTCATTAATGGTGAATTTAGAGAAAGATTAAGTTGGAAGTTGTGTCTCATTCTTAATGTTTGTGGTCCATTTTAACTGCTGTTGGGTCTTTTTCCGTCTCTTCCCTACTGGGATTTGTCGTGCCTGCAGTGTCATACACACACATTTTGCAGTACTGCTTGCACAGTCCTTTCACCTGAGCCTTTAGCCTAACTGTGCTGGGTGAGCATGGACGTTAATCATATTATATCCTTTGCCTGTTACATCACTGTCCCAATCCACTTGTAAATTACTTCTTTCCACTTCTCCTCCCGTCCCATAAATGATATATGCAAACACATTATTATACAGTTGTAGAAGCAGCTGGAAACTGACCATTGTCTAAATAACCCATTGAATTTGATCTGTGAGATTATTTTACCAAAGCAGAGTGCACTTCCTGGTTGGAAATAGTGCATCTGTAAGAGGAAAGGGTGGTTTAAGTTGCACACAGTCATATTGACAGTTAAAAAGGTTTGTTGTTAGAACCGCTGTTTTGAGGGAGAACATGTGGGTGCCTTTACCTCCATGATTTTCATGATGGAAGCAGTATGCCTCTCTGTCAAGGCAAGGAGCACAGCACCATGCTGCACACGCTACCAGTACAGTTACAAAGCTTGGAGGGCCTCTTCTCTCTTCAATCAGCATAACTCTACTGAAACCCGTGAGGTTGAACTGTAAGGTGTCTGGGACACGGTCAGAGTTTTGTTCTCTGAACAACTGGCTAGTGATTCGCAATACTTGCGCAGGAAAAATGGAAGAGAATTACTAGAGAGACGCAAAGGAGTTTTATCTCAAAGGTCAGGTCTGAGAGTTTGCCAGCCATTATTTACTAATGAGGAGTAACTGCTTATATGTGCTAGTTCAGTTTGGTTTGTGCAGTCACAGTGCTCAGGCATTTAAAATCACGTGTCCAGTTTGAGCTAAGGATAGTTTTTGTAACTTCAGGAGCTCAAGAACTGCGTGTCCCACCACATTGCAGGGACGGTCCATAAAGGGAGTGGTGTTTGAAACTGAGTATGTGCATCTGCAGCATTCTCAAAAAAAATGCAACAGCAGTCTAAAAAGAGGAATCAGAGAAAGTACTTAATGGCCCAAGAAGTCATTTTTTCCTTTCTGCCTCACACCAGGTGTCCTCTTTCTCTGTCTTCGCTGACTGTAATATGATTGTATAGGGCAAACTTTCTATTTTAGACACCTAGTTTAAACAACTGCAGTCAAGTGGCGGTGCAAGGCTCTGGGAGCCAGATTCTGAATTAATTTTGCATAAACAGTGCTTTTGCTAACACTTAAGAGATTTTAAATAAGGGCTCAGCAATAAGGTGCTTGAGCTTCTATGCTGAACCTCAGTTATTGTCAAATCCTCCTTTGCTTGAGTAGAGTGTGCATGAGATGTATACTGTCTTGGAGTATTTCGTTTTGACTGAAATAATTCTTGATTTACAGTGGTCCAATCTCAACAGTCAGGCCACAGTTTGGAAGATGTGTTGGTTATGCAAAAGATCACAGTCATGCAGTCATATGGCCAGTGATTTGGCACTGTAGGTTTAAAAGAGAGTTTAGTTATGTTTGATTTGGTTTGGTTTGTTTATTTGTTTGTTTGTTTGTTTGTTTTTAACTCACATCTCTTGCCATCAGCAAGTATACAGAATCAAAGAATCATTTAGGTTGGAAGAGACCTCCAAGATCACCTTGTCCAACCTCTGATCCAACACTAACAAGTCCTCCACTAAATCGTATCACTAAGCTCTATATCTACATCTTTTAAAGACCTCCAGGGATGGTGACTCCACCACTTCCCTGGGCAGCCCATTCCAATGCCTCACAACCCTCTCAGTAAAGAAGTTCTTCCTCATATCCAACCTAAACCTCCCCTGGCGCAACTTTAGCCCATTCCCCCTCATCCTGTCACCAGGCACATGGGAGAATAGACCAACCCCCACCTCGCTACAGCCTCTTTTAAGGTACCTGTAACATTGCTGAAGTTAAAATACCACTTCCAGCGTTTCAATTGCCTAAAAATTCCTCCTTGGGATGCACAGTTTTGCCATGGGTATAAGCCTGAAATTGCTGTTTGCTGTAAATTTCTTAGCTGTGCTCAAATACACAATTTTCATGTTGCAGTAATGTAATTTTCTTATATAGAGAATGAAATGAAAAGTATAGTTAGTATTGGCATTAATACTGAAATTGTGTGTGCGTACATTTATGTACAAGATTTTTAGATATGCATGGCAAATTGGATGCCTCAAACCTCTTTGAAAATAAGACACTGACATATCTTGTATTAGATGCATACAAAAATCATTAGTCTGCTTTTAAAAGTCATTCTTTCCTTCTTAGCTGCCAGCAGGCACTTGCTTCTTGTAGTTACAGACAAGCTGTTTAAAGCTGCTTAGGGATGTTTAGTATCTAGGTCCCAAATTCAGTGCAATTTGAAAAGCAAACTCACTTTCCAGTACATGATGTATTTTAGTTGATACATTTACATTGTGATAATCGCACACTTGACTGTCACCCACTGAAAATGTGAATGCCCCATGCTGGAAATAATGTGTGCTAAGCTCCATATAGTAAGGTGTAAGCTCATTTTTCTTATTTCCCTTCTTCAGGTTAGAAACCAAGTCATTCTCCAAACGTAAACCCATATATTTACACGCCATGAAAATGTCAAGAAGCTTCTCTTCCACCTGCTGTGCTTTCCCCCACCGGGTGGATGAGGTAAGACAATCTTTGTGTTGCAGAGCATATTTTGGAAAGGACAGTGTTACACATCTGGGGTCCTGTTTGATGCTGTGGCAGTGGCAAGGGGGTGAAAACTTTATGTCCTTTTGGTTGTGAAAAGCAGCCCAGGCAGGAGGTATGTGAAATCCTCTCAGCTGTGCACAGAACACCTTGCTGCACCCTGCTGTGCTGGACGAGTCCTGATGTGCAGTTTCCCTGCCTGAACCCATGCAGCCTGCAGAAGGCTTCCCATGCATGAGAGCACTCGTCTGCCTTCACCTGGGCATGGTACACGTCCCTTCCCAGCTCCAGGCTGCTGGGGACACTTTGGGCAGCCCTGTCTAGGTTTAAGGGTGACAGAGGAGGAAGCAGGATGCCACCAAGTCTGGGTGACCCCTGGGAGAGGGGGGCTACACAACCCAGTTACAGTCCTTTCCACCTGCCTGCCCCGGATGGTGCAGAGCCCAGCCAAGCCCTGAGATATCTGAGGGGAGATGGCTGAGTACACTTTGACTCAGGATTTTTGTTTTGTTACAATCACGTTGTTTTTCTGCCTTTTGGCAGAAGCTGGGTGGAGGTGAAAAGGGAACATCCCACCAGCCTATTCCCCCGCTGCCCTCAGGGACACAGTTAGTGCTAGTGATTGCATTTCCAGTCACCTCTGTCTCTGCGTGTGTGTGTGTGTGCGCGTTTTTCTTTGGGTGGTGGTTTCCCCTTTGCTTTGCCTCTCGCTTGCAGCCAGAGCCGAAGAAGAGGGCGGTGCGATTGGCTGCTGATTACACAGATCAGCCCCGAGAGCCGGGGCTCACGCTCGCACACCCTCACTCACACACACACACACACACATCCGCACACCACACACACCCCACAAAAACTCACCCGGGCTGCGCCCGCACCAGTCCAAGTGGGGAAGGAGCATCCGGCCGCACGGAGAGCAACACCTCCACCTCTCGCCAAAAATCAACCTGCACAGCGAGGGAAATAAACACCTTCACTGCCAGCACTGGGAAGGACGGGCAGTTTACACGGCAGCGCTTTCCTCCACCCCACTTCTTTTTTTTTTTTTCTTTCCTTTTTTTTCTTTTTCTCTTTACCAACAAGAGGAAACCCCGTCTCCGGTTTTGAGCACAGCCCCGCTTCTCTTCCCGCTGTCGGGGGCTGCATCTGTCCGAAGCCAACTTCAGCGGGGGTGCCGGCGCCGCGTCGCCCGGTGCCGGCCAGAAGGGCGACTCGGCAAGCGGGATGGCAGCATCGGCCCGCTGGGTGCTGTGCCTGTGCCTGGGCTGGGGCTGCCTGTGCCTGGCGCTGGGGGACGTGCCCAAGGCTCGCCGGCTTGGGCTGCGGCGACGAGCTGCCCTGGCAGGAGCTCAGGGCGGCCGAGCCAGAGCCGCGGCAGGTGACTACAGCCTGGGACAGCGGCGGGCAGAGCGGCTGCAGCCAGGGGACAAGGTGTCGGAGCACATGCTGCGGCTCTACGACCAGTACAGCGGGGGGCAGGCGGCGGCAGCGCGGCCCCAGGACCCGCCGGGGCTGCCGGCTCCGTCCCTCCGCCGGGGCAACACCGTGCGCGGCTTTCGGCCGCTGGCTGCAGGTGAGACCCCAGCGCCCCCCCCGGGGAGCCCCAGCGTGGAGGGGAGGGGGAGAGAAGAGAGATGAGGAAAGCAGCGCTGCCTGCAGCCACGCTTGTGGTTTGGGACACGGTGCTTACATTGTCCCGTGTGTTTTAATTACCGGGTTATCTGCTCAGCTCGGTACGCGGCGTCTCTGCTGGATGATATCTGAGTACCATATGAGGGAAGTGGACTAATTAATATATCCTCTCCGGAGCCTCCTTTTAGCAGTATTTTGCATGCATAGCTTCTGTTGAAATCACGGGTTGATTTGCATGTGAGAGAGCAGTAGCATGTGCTGGCTGTCCTTTAGACTATCTACGGAACAGTTTGAGATGTTGCTGACGGTAGGGGCGATTAGGGGCAATAGGGAATGAGATGAGCTCAAGGATAGTCTGTGCATGGCAAGTGCTGTACTTCAGCATCTTTGGCAGCAGCAGGTAGATCTCTGTCCTGATTACAGACTGTCTATGCACAGGTAGATGTCTGAAAACATGAACTCGCTTTTCAGAAAAGGATATTTATGGTGGGGGAGAGGTGTATAACATAGCAGTATCGCAGAAGAACCATGTTCTAGCAGAAAGAGAAGGCAGCACTGTCATAGCACTGCATCTCTGGACTCCACTGCTCTGCTCCATAATGCATCTGACCTCTGTCAGGGCTCAATGGAAATGCCACAACCCTAATGAGACTCTCACTGTAATAAACTTCCCAAATCCACTGAATGCTGGAAACTTGCTGTTTGACAACTGTTGGGCCATCCAGAGCAGCCTGCTTTGACAGTCTCTTGGTTTTCATCACACCGAAGGGTTGACCCAGCAGTAAAACCAAGTTCTGTCTGGGAGCTTGTGACCTACACTGATTCCTTTGTCTCCCAGAAAACTTGCTGAGAGCTGGGTGCCAGACTTTGCTGAGGTTTATTTGGGAGTCATTACTGCTGATTCTTCAAAGGCAACAATGTCTATTATAGGATAGCTCTGCACAGAGATCAAATACCGTGAATAATTGAATGGCTTTGGCATGTTAGGATTCTGTGCTACAAACACTCTCCATCATATGTTACCGCAAGTGTTTCTGTCCGCAAGAGAGGATTTAGAGGCTAGAGACTTAAATATGTTCGTTTTAGAGGATGGATAGGTGGGACTCTCGGTTTGCTGTCCCCATGGAGATCTTACGTAGAAGGTACTCTCTTGTCTTTATAAAGTAACCAGTTTTTGAAATATAAATCCAATATATGTTCCTTTGTTCTGAGTTAAGTGTTGCCCTCACTGAAAAAGAGTAAGGTATAATCCAAAACAAAAAAAGGGGGAAAGGTATAATCCAAACAGAGTGTATTTTCTCCTTTAAGCATATCTGATTAAAGATATTTATTGTTCTAAACCTAGAAGGCCTTTGGTTGAAATCCCATCTCTGTGGTCTTTCTGATTATATTTATACTCTCACTTGACGTTGGGTGGCAGCAGTCCTATAAACACACTATTCACTAATCCCTTTCCTCCTCCTCCAATACTTTCACAGTTCAAGTGCCAAAGCAATAAATTGGAAGTGGTTATAAGTTTTTTGACACTTTTATAAGTATTTATGCAAAATATTTAACCAATTGGCTGTTGTCTGTCTCTCCCCGTAGGCAGCAGCAGCTCGTTTGTATGGTTATTGATGGCATCCGAGTGCATTTCCGTAAAAAACCTTAGATCAAATGTTCTTTGGGGTGGCATTGGGGGAATATTAAAAGACTTCTGGTTTCTGGCTTCTTCCTTGCACCCGGCTGCCTGGCCAGCCCTGCGACGCAAACGGCACCTCCACAGTATTTCCTTCTGCAGACGGTTCGTTTCCAGATCTCTGCTTTGACTGCCGGGCTCCTTGGCTGCAGATTTCAGTCTCCCAGTGGCTTGCCTCGGCCATAACGTGGCTGTACCAGTTGTTAATCAGTTCTGTTGCCCTTACTCCTTCACACATTAGACCCTCCCTGCTGCTAACCCCTTCAGGAGACAGCTTTTGGTCTGCGATGAGCAGAACTCCCCTAAGAATCCACTGGTTTCTCCTGCATTTGCAGCAAGAGGCCGTGTAGGAAAACTTTGGTGACTTCATGTGCATTTTGAGCATATATTTGGCAATTTAACCATGTATTTTCAGGAGATAAACAATTCCTTTTCAAAAACACACCGCTCGAATAGAGCTATGAAACCTTTCTGTCCATGTTTTTCCCCTAAAGGACTTCTGGCTCTTTGGCAGCATGAGGAAAGCCTTTCCAGCTCCTGCAGGTAACCCACCAGGCAAATTTTGGGGACCCTAAAAGATACTGTGGTGTGCAATGAGATTAAGAACTGGTAGGATCTGTTGATACTCCTCCCTGTTTCTAGTCCAAGAAAAGTGGTGCTGCCTGTCAGAGCTGCAGTCTTGCAGGAGACAGGCCCAAAGAAAACCCAAGATGTGGTTACTGAGAAGAAGCACGTTAACAACGGCAAGATGCAAGTTTTCCTTTCTGTGGATCAGTCCTCCAAGGGGACAGGGTGAGAGCTTCTACCCTGTGTGGGCACGTTTCAGGGGTCCATCTGATGCTGCCCCACAGTCTTCCACACACCAGATTTCACAGACAGGCTGGATAATTGGTGGTTTTGTTGCTCATTTGGGGATTTTGGGCCTTTGACTTTGATGACCACTCACATGCTCTTGTATTCTGGCAAATTTGGTTTTCATCTCTCCCACCAAGTTATCTCAGAACAGAATTGTCCAGTTTGAGTTGCTCAGAAAAATAACCTGTGATGCCCATGACAAAGCTGAAAAAGCCCCAAGCCCCAAATCCATTTTCAGAGCAGTAAGGATTTACATCATCTACAGAACATGCAGTCCCATCCCAGCACCATTTTTTGTGGATTGAACTGCCCTTGTTTACCTTTACATATTCAGTCAAAGGATGCTCAGCCCATGATTTCTGGGAAGCTGTCAGGCTACAAGTGCAGTGTTGTGGGATATTTATGGGATGGCGCTAGTGGCCCTCATCTTACTTAGACCAGGCAGCATGGCAAGCTCTGCTTAAATAGAAATCCTGAGCCAGAGCCTTCTCCAGTTCTCTGCAAGTCTCGCAGCAGTGGGTGGTTTTCCATCCCTCCATCCCTTGGGACTAAACTGGAAGCTGTGGGGAGAACAGGGTGATACGTGAGCTACAGGTGAATGCTTTAACAGTTAGGGTGAGTGTAATCTTAAACTGTCTGTGCATCGGTTTCTGCACACAAATCTTCTTTTCTCCTGCCCCTTAGCAAAACCACCAAGTGACCAGCCCTCGGGCCGATACAAATCTGTTTGCCCCCAGTGCTTTCCACAGAGCTGTGCTGATCTGCAGCTTCTGGGGCTTTGTACCTGGAGGAAAGGCACAACCCGGAATAAATGCAGAGAGTGGAAAGATAAAAGCCTTGAACACAAGGCTTTCAGTTTGCTTTTGAAAGTACTTGTAATCATAGCATCGCTAAAGGAACATGTCTTGCAAATGAGTCATTTGAAAAACTCTAACTTTAATTGGAGGGTCCCTCTAATGATGTTATAGTAAAGCTATACAGGCAGAAATTACTTTAAACTCTTTTTTATTGACTGAATTTCAAGTAATTTTAGGTATTACACCTGCCCCTGGGCCAATTCTTGTGGTTTAAGAACTATGTTCTCCTCCTCTTTCAAATGCTTTTCTTTCCTTTGTTGCGGTGTGAAATGCCCACGCAAAGAGGGAAACCAAGTACTGCACGGGGAAGCCAGCGAGCCACCGGCTGCCGTCAGACTGGGAAAATCAGCAGGGGCCCAATGCTAGCCTCTGCAGTGCTGGTAACAGTAAGGTTGTCTGTGACAAGAGCTTTAAAAACATTCAGGCAGAAGACCATGGCGGGGGGGGAGCTGGGGTTTGTTTTTTGTTGAAGTGGGGTTTTTTTGTTTGTTTTTTTGTGGAGTAGAGGGAGAGAGGTTCTGTGCCCCTATAAATAAAATGCAATCAACAGCATTCTTCTTATCACTGTGATACTTTTTAGGCAGAAGGAACTGGGACCAAATCCGCAAATCTGCTAAGGCAAATGGGCAGGATCGGTAGATTTGGCCTGTCAGGACCAGACCCGGGATCTGGGTTTTCTGGCTTCTGTTACCACCTGTCTCACTGTGCTGTTGTCCGAGTGGATGAACTAGCCTCCAGCCCTCAGTCAGTCACAGTTTCTAGAGCACCTAAGTTCCAACGTGAAGATTTACAGCCTTGAGGAGATGGTGTGTGCACCTTTGTTTTCATACAGCAGACCTACTTCTACCAACTGAAGTTGAATTACGACTGAGAAGGAGGGGAACCAGCCTTTTGCATTCTCCTTCACAGCTTTTTGTGTTTTATTGATGCTACCTGCTTGCTTGTTTATTATGTGCTAGTTTGGGATCTGTTGTTATGTTTAGTTTACAGACCTGGTCTTTCTGCTTAAAACATGTAGTAGGGAGACGATTCACATGCTGTGCAGCGCATTTGTGATGTGCAATGTGCATATTCATGCACTTCATATCACAAAATAGGCATGTAAGTTAGATCCTAATTATTGTACCATTACTGCATCTCAAAGTTCTTTAAGTTTAATCAAAATGATTAAACTTAAATGGGATTATTTAGCTTTAATCAGAGTGATGGGTTTTTTAATTTTGTGTGTCAAGTTCCTAGCTGCTACATTGCCTGCTTTGATAGGAATAATTAAGCCAGTTTTGCACCAAGCTGTATGCCCTTTAAAAAGGCAGAATGGGATCCTCTATTTTTCCTTTGCAAAATACCCAAACCAGTAAGGGGAGAAATGGCAATCAAGTAACAGCAAAGGTTGGAGACAAGAAGAAATCTGGCTTCCAAATCTGTGTGAAACTTTTTCCCATTTCCAGCTCTGAGTGAACTTTTGTAGCTGGCCTATGAACCCATGAAAACAAGGTTTTACAACGGAAACACTGATATGTTCTTAACTGTGCACTGGCACAAGGGCACCAC